CAATACCTTGAGTCAATGTGAGTTACACTTTCCATAATTGGTCCCAAGCCAAGGCCTAGAAAACATGAGGATAAAAATATTTACTTGAGTTAAATGTACACTAATAATTGTAATTGATGTCATACATGATGGCATTTAATGATTAGCAGTAATTACCTGTGCAAAAAGCAAAGCCCATGAGAAAACCTGTAAAATTCATTAAACTATAATTAAGTGATTGTAAAGGCTATGTTTACACAGGTTTACACTGTACAAGATGGCTTGGTGATTGTCTGGTGCTTTCCCGGGCAAAGTGCAACAATGTATGAAAGGGCACAGCTCAATAGGTTGACAAAAGATGTCTGGCACATACCAATTCTTTTTGTCTGATTCTTGCCGTCATGTGGAGTAAACGCCAGTAACAAGAGAAGGCCAATTCCAGCCAAACCAGAAAGCAAACCACCCTATATGATAATGGGATAAGTGGGTTATTCCAGAATAGATCAGCACTGTCTTCACTAAGGAAATAGTCTGGGAAGGTGGAGGGTAAAATCTACTCTAGTTATTCTCCAATGGGTAAGGGGGGTGGGGGATAACTTCCCCTTTCCTCCATTCTCTGGAATGACATGTTACTTATCATTACCTGTCGAAATTTCTAAGGCAAGCATATTAATGGTTAGGTAGGAAAGTGACGTACTACAAAGGTCCACGCCCTCTCCGAGGAGAAAGTTTTTGCCGTCTGGAGGGGAGAAAAATGAGTTTCGAATAAAGGTAAGTGTATTAGGATGTCCAAAAGGGTTAGGGGGGGGGTGGAGTTAATTTCCTCTGTGGGGGAGGTATGGATGTTTTCTAGAATGACCCAATGTACCTTGAGGAACTGTGTGTACATGTGTACAGCTCCGCCCCCAGCTGCAACAAACATGCTCATCGCCAGAGCGGAGTAAACATTCTTCAAATGTTTCTTGGTGGGAACATCCCTAAAATGCAAACGTCATGGTTGAGGTCATTTCTGTGCTTCAAATTTAACATGCTCCTCATTCAGTTTACCTAAATGGCTGGGGGGGGGGGGGGAACTCTGGGGGTCCCAGGGTGGAGGCCCTGAAAACTTCACAATTTTTAGCTTTTACATGCCAGCTCAAAATTTCTTTGATCAATATTGTGTCATTTTTTCTTACCTTGTACAAAACATTTTACTATAAAAGTTTGAGTTTCAAAACTCAATTCAAGAGTGAGATTTTGAGGACTGTTTATCGGCCCTAAAAATGCGCTGATAATCTGACAAATCATGTGCACCCAACCATTAAAACGTATTCAATTTCCTCCGACTGACAACATTCCGACTAAAACTAGTACGTCAAAACTATGCTACCTCAAAAGCATCACACATAACTATGGAAGTTTGATGTTTCACTGGAAATTGTGGTAAATTTCTATTAATTTTCGATCATTTACAGAGAATCTGCAGGTGTTCAAATGACATTGTTTACATTTATTTGAATATTTGTGCACATATAGTTCAGTATATACATATGTTTTATAGCTTCTTTTCACATTATATCCTGCTTGTTAATTATTATAATTATTATCTAGAATCTGTAGTTTGCATTGTACAAAAATTCACTACATAATATAACTAATACACTATACATATTTATTGTCAAAGCCTGATTTGGTAGTGCTCTACTGCTCTACATAATTTGTTTTATTATTCATGTCAGTTATGAATTTATATCGACCATAAATAACTACATTTATTGAATTTTTCTGTTCAATAGATGCAGCATTTTGCTTTATAAATGCAATATTGAAAAATGAAATAAGATCGAGCACACTAATACTTCTTTTGCAAGGTTGCTAACAACTACTTTTCATTTGAGATTACAAAATTACAAACACAGTAAAATATTGCGCGGTTTGCTCCATATTTTATAGCTTTTTAGTTTTCTATGCATTACTTACAGCCTCGAGAAGTCAGTCAAAGTCTCGAGGTTAAATCCTCGATTCCTGCTCAGTCTTTCCATGATAAATTGACGAAATATAAACAATTTATTTTTGTGTTTTTCTTTTATCGATTTTCAACCAACGCAACCAATTTCGAAGTAGGTGTATCGCGTCATTTAAATCAATAAAGGGTCTGGGGACGAATGAACGTGCGCCGTTTTGATTGGTCAATTATGACGTATTTATAACATAAAATTACGTCATCTTTTTCGACTAAACGCTGATCTCCAATAATGAACTGGACCAAAATCGACCTAAAGGCTAAAGTATAAATAATCTCTTTTCCAATTCTTTTCTTTCATTATTAATAGTTTACATTAGACCTACACTTTACATTAGCCCTACACTTTCCACAACATAATATGTTAATATATGTATCACTCGTTCATGCCTTAGTAATATACATATTGGGCATTATTGGCATGCCTAATATACATATTCCCACTATATAAAAACGCCCCAGATTTATTATTTGTACCTGATTACAAAGAAGATGAAAATAACATAGTAATTTGAATATACTGTGTATGAGCGACACAATGCTTATTAAATAAAATACAATATAACAAAAAGTGAAATAGAAATGAGCGATTTTCACACTCTCTTTTTTCTCCACCCCCCTGAAACCCGGGGGGGGGGAGGCAAATGGGGGGACCATTAATACTTCTAGAATAATTTTAATTTGTGGCATCTGTCAAACAATCAATGCAACGGATTGTTTCGAAAGTTATTGGAAGTAATACCAGGGGATTTGCTTTGGTGAGTATTGTCCTATATTTTGAATAAAATATTCTCACTTTCAGTTTAATTTCGCTTTCGAGTTTGAGTTCATTGTTTTTTTAAACGATCTGTTTCGTATCAAGTATTTGATATATTTCGACAAGTTTTTGCTGGGTATCGTCTTCGTAATTGGCATTTTAATAGGAACTTCACTTCCGTAAGGTGTTTTATATGAAATTTATTTTATTGAGGGGCTTTGTATTTTGGAATTATTTGTACATTTATACTGACCTTCATATTTTTTATATTTTGTATATTAAACTATCATTAAAGTATCAATCTGTTTGACAGCTGGGATTTAATTTTTACTTTGTAACTTAGAGCTGCGTTCAGTTGCCACGTTGCCACATATTATAAATGTCAAAATGAGCAAACTCTTTATTTGGAATTATTACTATATACATTGATCATGTGTAGATGTTCATTTAGCTTTTCAAGGGGTATTTTAAATTAATCCATGCTAAAAACTAAGGCCTTGGAACTGGTTTCATATCCTCAAACAAATAGGGTCAGTTAGGACATTTACATTTGACATTCGTCAGCATGCTATGCCACCATTGGGTCGTGAGTGTGATCAGTTGGCATTTGCCACAACCCATAAACATTTCAAGAAGCGATGATTGAGGCAACAGATTCCATGTAGCCACAACAAAAAAATATGGTCGGTGGGTAGGCCAACAACCCAACCACATCCCAATAAACAACATTAGGGTCAGCAGAAAAGAACTTAAGAGGCTTGGCCAGCACATGTGGAGTCGATCTTTACACACGTAAAAACGCACAAGTTGTTACAAATCTGTTCACAAGCTGTCGACAAGTTGTGTTCGCACTGCTTGTTCCCAGTTGTTGTAACAAGTTTGGGACAAGCTGTTAACAACTTGTGACAAGCTTGGTGGCATTATCAGACTTGTTACAAGGTTGTTCTAACAAGTCTGATACAGTCATGATATAACAAGAATGTTACAATGTTGACGACACAAGGTTGTAGCAATACTGCTATATCATAACTGTATCGGACTTGTTGGAACAACCTTGCAACAAGTCTGACATTATCAACAAGGTTGTTACAAGTTGTTAACTGCTTGTTCCAAACCTGTTGACAACTTGGGACAAGCAGTGTGAACACAACTTGTTGACGGCTTGTTGGCAGGCTAATGCTACAAAATGTGAGATTTTTGCATGTGTGGGGAGAACAGTTGAGAAGTTATAGAGGTAGATCTGGTAGAAATTAACACTTAGTTTAGTTTATGTTTCCTCCTATCGTAACACTGGATCAATAAGAGATGATCCTCACTGAACCTCTAGGAAGAACAGTTTAGAACTGATAGAGCTATCCAGTATAAATAAAGTTAGTTTGGTTTAGGTTTCCTCCTGCAGTAACACTGGTTCAATAAGAGATGATCCTCACTGAACCTCTAGGAAGAACAGTTTAGAACTGATA